AATGCCTTGTAAAAAGTAGGCAAACTGCATTTATTAAAAAATATATGCTTTAAGCTGGCAATAATTTAAGCAGTTATTTCATCTGCTTGACTCACAGTAACATAAAAGCCCATCTGACACGGAGGCTTTCTCGCAGAAGAAGTTTCAGCCATTTGTAACTTAGAGATTGCTAATAATACACGATGCCTGCAGTGAGGATTTTGGCACAGCAGAGCTCAGAGCCCTCTGCTCTCCCTGCACAGGCACAAGCTGAATTTCAGCTGTGAAGCTCTCCCAGGTCCATGGGAGACACAGTTTGGAACCACACTCCTGCCTGGTCACACTGCCCTCCTCCTGAAGGGTGTAATCAGCTCATGATGGGCCATCATCCCTCATACCTCTACTTGTGGGCTCTTTTAAGGTCTTACTTCCCTATGACCCATTTTTAATGCTTAGCTCTTCATTTTGCAGGGTTTTTTTTGGCATGGTATGTTATCTGCAGTACATCAAGCTATTTGCTGCCAGAAAAGCACCTTGACTATCTGGTTAATCTTTCTTATTTTTTTCCCCCTTCAGAAATTTTAATTCATCTGAAGTTTGAGAAACACCAAATTGCAGGAGCTCTTCAGGGAGCAAACCCATCACTTCAAGCAGATCCCTAAGAAAGGACTGAGGGATGGAAACTGGGCCAGGGAATGTGTCCTCCTGTGTGAGGCACTGCACGGACCTACCACTGTGGGGCACAGAGCAGAGCAAGGCTGAAGTGTGCATGGAACACAGTGGACTTGCAGTCATCAGTACGGCAAACAGGAGAGGAGCAAATGGCTGAATCCCAAAAAAAGCCAGGGAGTGGAAGTGAAGGTTCAGGCTGCTTGTGTTTAAGGTCAGTGTCTGCCAGCTGAGGGGGAGGCTGCAAAAAGCAGCGCTGCAGAACCTCACAGTGAAGTCACAGCCCCTAAAGGGCCAACTGCCCTTGTGATTAGGGTAGATTCAGAATTGCTGTTGGGAAGGATATTGCACACCAGTGGGGTAGTTTCCTCTTTCAACTGAAGCCAAACCAACAGCATTTCATTAGCTTACTTTTCTTTTCCTCTTCTTCACCCCAGCTGTGTGATCTAACACAGCAGAAAGGATGCTGGAAACTCAGTCCAACAAAACAGCTGGATACATCAATGGAACAAAAATGCATCATGAGCTACTGTTCAATACAGGAATCAGCTCTGTTTGTAAAACAGGTCCCTGGAGATAAAGGAATTATTCTGAAAGCTTTGCTTTGTTCTTATGCTCTCCTCAGGTGTCCTCTCTTGGCCCCTGAGGCAGGACACTGAGATAAGTGGTATTCTACTCTTTCTGGTACATATTTTCTTATACCCTTAAATTAACTTGTTCCTGTCATTTTATTGGTATTCGTGCTCTCTGTTGTCTGATTGCTTTGGGCTCAGTCACCCTGGATCCATAAGATGATGGACTTACCCCTGTGACACACACACAGCAGAAGGACAAGGCTCTAGGTTGGCAGTTGAACTACAACCACGTCACTAATTCCCTCTGGAGTCACACAGCCTTCTGCAAAACAGTAGCTGAAGTCACACCAGAAGTCAGAGCAAGTGTTTGCTGAACAAACTGTTCTCTTGCAAGAAGCTTATCCACTGGACCCATGGCTAATCCTTCTGGCTTTGAGGAAGAGAGGGGAGAACACAGATCACAATTACCTCACCTGTTCTGCTGAGGGGCAGGGAGGGGAGGAAGGAAGAAAGGAAGGAAGGAGGAAGGAAGGAGGGAGGAAGGAAGACAAATTCCCCAGCAGTGTTAGGAGCCATTTCTTGGATCATCTGCAGATGATGTCTGGATGCAGGCTCTGGACTGACCTCCCTTTTCATCCAGGCAGCTTCAGCACCCATTATGGGCTCCAGACATAAGGAGTAGGGGCCTTGTGCTGTGCAGCATGACACACTGTCAAGGCAGGTTCAGCTAAAATCCACCCCCAAATCCGTGAGTCACAGCTCAGAAACACGTTCCACTGTAGACATTTCCTGAGTCACTTCCATCTCCAAACTTATAAATATTTAGTTAGCCACTTAGCTTTTAATCTAGCAGAACAACAGAGATTCATTAGACAGATCTCCAGAATTATCTTTCACTAAGAAGCTTCTTAAATACTTCCTCTCAGTCAAGTTCCTTTTCATTTCTATACAGCTCAGAATTATTTGATACATATAATTGACAAAAATCAAAGGTGAGCTAAGAAATAGTTTCTCCTGATTCTGTTCCTTCTGTAATTAATTGCATCTATTTCAAATACCAGCTTTGTTCACTGCAAGAGCATATTCTCATTTTAGTAATAACTGTTGAACCCTAATAAGGACATTAAGGTCTCTCCTGGTGTGGGGTGGCACATCAGATCTTCCTGAAGACCACTGTCAATCAGACCATGCTGGAGTCGGTGCGGATGTGCCTGGACACGTAAATGGACAACACATCAATACTTTTTTCTAAGAACCAACTGAGATTTGGGGGAAAAAAAAATTAAAAGGGCTTGGTAGTATCTCTGTATTTTTGGCAGAGGCAGGAGAGGAGGAGAAGAATGGTAATATTTAAGGATATAGCATTAGGAAAAACTATCTGTTATTGTTTTATAAAAATCATAGATTTGTTGTTATGACTACAAGTGGTTGAGTTAAAAATATTTGTTATATAAAAATGTGATCCTTGAGTTTACTTCCCTCCATTTAACAGATTGAACCAGAAGGCAGTGAGAGCTTTACAGACCATCCTTCAATGCAAACCATTTAGGAGCTGCTGGAGTCCCACAAATCCCAGCTGTGCAGAGCTCCTCCAGCAGAGCTGTTTTGAAGCCTGGGACTGAAAGCTAATCAGCAAAGAGGAGAACCAGGTTGGCTTGATGCTTTCTTTTTCCCCTCACCATGGTCAGCAGTGCTTTTTCTGCTTTGCTGTTTTGTTGGGTTGATATTTATGTCAGCAGTTCACACACGCAGATGCCACATGTGCTTTTAAATTTTGATAAATGAAAACATCTATTCATGTCTTTGCTGCACTGTAGGAAAAGACACTGCATCATTCTCTGTGCAAGAGAGACAATAGGCCTTGACAGGTTTTCTGGGGGCTGGGTTAAAGGCTTTGCATCCTCACCAACAGGGAAACTGGGGGTTCAAGAAACCCCTAAACAAATGAGAAAGCAGGGGCCAGGCTTTCTCTTACCACAACCAGTGCTGTTACACTGCAATTGCCATAGCAACACAGCTCCAGCTCTGTTTCCAGCATGAGGGGCTAATCAGAACCCACCAGTGCAGGCAGCAGAACCCTGAGGAACACACTGGGCTGGAACTGCATGAGCTGTGGGGTCACTTCCAGCCCAAACCCTTCTGTGACAGCGTGGACTTGTTATTTCCCAGTGAATAATAAAGGGCTTAGACAGAACATTACCAGAACAAGGTACCAAAATGAGCTGTATCGACTTTTTGGTGCTTTCCTGTAAAATTTCTGATGTTGAAGGTGACTCAAAACACTGCACAACCAATCAACATTCCGTGAGGGTAAAGTCAAAAATATCAGAAGTTTCTACTTAGTTTAAAAAATAGAGGCAATTTTAAAAACTAGAGGGGGTTATTTTTTTCTGGTTCACACTTTAAGGATAATTTAACGTTCTGAAAATTATTTTGTGACAGATTCACAATAATTTAAAGTTTTAAAATTTAAATTTTTATAAAGTAGTGGTCAGTTTGAAATATCATTACCCCTGTGGACCTGGCTGCCTGCTCTTGTGTTTCTGTGCTGGATTAGAATGAATGCCTTACTTGGACCAGGTGGGAATTCTGCCTCACTTGTATATTCACAGCATTTTGTAGAGATTTTTCACCCGTGGAATCGAGCAGAGAATTATCTGTTTAGGTCTGTGTGAGTATGTATTCCACATCATCATCATATGCAGCATTCATAAGGGCAGAAACCCAGGTTGCCATAGGAAAGATAAGTCATTTCTTCTTTTTCAGGACTTTCCTAGATCTGTTATTTATAGTACAGAACCATTTTGTTAAATGTTTTCTGTACCTTTTCATTAATCTTGTCTTTAACCTCGGCCCTCTTAAAAAAAAGAAACGGAAATTTCTGTCCCTGGGAGCCCCCACATTCAGTGTAGGTACAAAATCAGATACATCTCCAGTACCTTATAAAAAACATTCTCTTCTTCATCAACTGCAGCACTGCTATGAACTAATGCAGCAACAGATGTTAACCAAAACGTTTCCAATGATGCCACTCATAATAAAATAAGTCATCTGCATCCCCTTGGAATTTTAGTGGCATAGCACAAAAAATGAACGCAGTGGTGGCACAGGCACCAGGAAGTCATTAAGTGGCAGAATTCTGCCAGCTTTTTTAGTTATTTGTGATTGCTACCTGACCCCCTTGGCAGCTGCAATAAGCATGAAAAGTCAAAAAACCATAAGAATCAGTAAGGCCTCAAGGTTTTCATAGGAACATAATTCCTGAAAGCACATCAAAAGCCTGGAAATATTGGTCTGTCAACTAATTCTATGTTTGGTTGTGTTTTTTTTTTCTTTTTAACCTTTTTTTTTTTCTTTTTCTCTGAAATGTTTGTAGGAGAGGAAAAATTAATTACCAGCGGTATTTCCTTCATTAGAAATAGAATCAATGATGTCAGTTTAGGTAAATCCCTGTCCTTCCTATTTCACTCCACAGCTGTTGGCAGTCCAAGCCTTATTGCATTTTGGCTGCTCCAGCACATCTGCCCCGGGTACAGGAAGCCATGAAGTCATTCTTTTTGTCATTTTGGGAAGGAGTGCCCAGTGTGTGGCTTATGGGACCGCAAGTCGAGCCTCTCTGCTGTACTGCTTTAGAAAAAAACAAGCTGAGTTTGTTCCCATCCCTGCCCTTCACCTGCCGCTCAGGTGTGCTGCATTTCCCTCGGCAGGGCAGCGGGTGACCTCGCAGCGACATCTCGTGGCCCGACCCACCTGGAGCCGCGCCAGGGACTCCTCTCCCGGGGTGGAGAAGACCTCGTGTGGATGGAGTCGAACGTTTCATGCAGGGAGCAGGCAGGATGCCGTTTGAAACCCAAATGTTTAATGAGGTGAGTGACGCTGTCAGCGTGATTGTCAGCGGTACAAAAATAAGTTAGAAATTGTTGCCCACGCTAAAAAGAATACAGGGTTTTGCCCTTCTTCCAAAGGCTGCAAAGGGTGGGCAGTATAACAAGATGAACATCTCAAGTCACTGTTGCAAATATCTAATTTACCCATTATCTAGTGCAAAAATACAGCAAAGACACAAAATAAGTTCTCTTAAGCTAAAATAGAAGAACAGAATATGAAAATACTCTCCCTCCTCTCACCATCTAAACATCTATACCTCTTTGGGCTTTAAGTACTTGAGGCCACACAAACTAAACTAAGGGGAGCGAATCTAAAGTAGCAACCTACAGCAGATCCACAGAACTCCATTCACAGAACTTCAATTATCACAAATATTTGTGTGTCCTTTGGAGTAAAGAAGTGTTCTTGCAAGGAGAAGGGTGGAAATATACTGACTTCAAAGCCTCAGTGGAAAACCAGTGTATGAACAAACCCCTGCAGAGGGAACAAAGATAAGTCACACAGAAATCACAATAAATGCTGGGGGTTTATCCTTAGCCAAAAGCTCTATTTCTTGTTCTCTTGTTCTTTTTTTTGCTGTGAGATAATGACTCATCAGTAGCACAAGTGAGGGGAAATCATATCTTTGCAGAGAAAAGGGAGCTTTCAGGCTAAAATCGGTGTCCTTTCCCAAAAAGAAGAACACTGAGCACGCTGCTGAGTGAAGGGCTTTCCATGGCTTTCCCAGGCAAGCCAGGGGAAGGTTGTTCTGGCAGAGGTTGGCAGGAACCAGGTGGGTTTGAGCCTGGTGCCTGCAGGAATGCTCCTGTCCTCCAGTGACTGGTCTTCATGGCAGAGTCTGCGGGTGCTTCCCCCTAAAATCTCAGCTGTGCAATCACACAAACCAAATTCCAGCCCTGGTGAAAAGAATGCCTTGGAATAATTAAAATTAATAAAATTAAAATTACTGTCACACCTGGTATTTTCATGTCCAGAGTTTAATTCGTGCATCTTCCTTATACCCTGTATACCCTTCCCAGGCACTTAGAAAGGCTTAGTTCTGGAATAGCAGTGGGATGAACTCAGATTTCTCTGTATTCTGAAGGTAATTCCATACTCTCCCAATGAATTCCATATAAATGTTCGGTATAAATTTTGTTCAGTGGAAGGAGGAGTCAGCCACGTCTGGAAGTTGTGACTTTCCCAGGTAGTTTCTCAGCAGCCCACAGGAACACAGTGTAAGACAGATGTGAGACAGACAGTGCATTCTGAGTCTCTGACAGCTTTCAGTGGTGCCACTGGACTGTAATGAAAAATTAAATTTACCTGCTGACTGTATTAGTATTCTTTCCAATGAATTGCACTTTAAAGTAATTGCACTAACATGTAGTTGCATTTTTAATACCTTTGAGATGCTACATTTCCTCATGCTGCACTGGCAGCTCATTTCCTTCAGCCACACAGAGGTTTCAGGCTGTAGCTCCTTCCCGATCACTTTGTGACTAGAGGTTCCTGTGTTATTAAAAACATGTTGTGTCCTGGTTTTAGCTCAGCTTTTCTGGAAAGCCATCATCTGGAAGTCAGCCTGAGACCCAGCAGTGTCACAGGGATTTTCCCTGCTTTCTGAACCGATCTGTTCCACTGCCTGGGAAGTTTCTGGGTCCTGAGAGCAGGGACTGTCCAGCGTGTCCCCGCTGCTGTTGCAGTGCAGGGGGGAGGCCATGTCCGAGGGCTGCTCCGAGGGTTTCCCGGCAGGCGCGGGCAGGGGCACCGGCAGAGGGAGATTCATCATGTAGAACACGTTTCCCAGGCGCCGGGACACCTTTAAAGACAAAGGAACAATCGCGGCAATCGCTTCTCGAGACGCTGTTAACGCCTTTAAACATCAACGTTGGCTCTCGGGTAGCAACGCCAGGGACATCCAGGGGATCCCAGCCATCCCCAGGGGTTATCAGTGGTTAGCAAGAGTGAAAAAAATCCCTTGCATTTTCCCTCTCTCATACTTTCGTAAGCTCCTCCTGTTCCCGGGGAGCTGCAGCACCCCTGGGACACAGGGAAGGCAAACTGCAAACCAACCTGCGTGTTGTGGCAACATACAGAGAACCAAAAGCAAACTATGCTGGAGTAATTTCTTTTCTCCCAGTGTTATGGTAGTTACCTTATCAGTGAAAAAAAAAAAAAGTGGTTTAGTTTGGAAAGACTTCATCCTGGGAGCTTCTGGCTCGTTCGTGTGTCTGTGACTTGGGCACACATTTAATGATCATACCTGAGAGCGGATTTTTAATGCTGGTCCGAGTTTTAATCCCATTGTATCCAGGAGATGTTCCTCTGTTAGCAGTGGGAGGGTTTCTCCATCAATAGCATGGTCTTTAAATATCTGAAAAAAAAATGATAAAACACATTATGGTGTGCTAAAACAGACTGGTTATTTTTTATGATTAATCCCGAGACACCAGAGAATAAAAGGAGGAAATAATAATTTTACTGATTTATCCTCTCACATTTACATTTCTTTGATGACCTTTAAATCTAGATGGTCCTAAAGACCCGAGAATGTGATGAATGTTTCTAATCACCTGGGCATAATCCGAGCAGCCTGGGAGGCTGACGATGAAGTTGTGCACGTCATCAACAGTCCACTTGCGAATGTCTTCGACGGAGGAAATGTCTTCTCCATTCAGGATCAGGCCATGTGCTCCTTGGAGGAGGCAACACAGAAGTTATGGTTGTAGAATTTTGCTGGCAAATCAGGAGGAAGTGGTTGTTAATATGTCAATTTTTACACTTCTCCACGACTTTTGATTCCTTAGACTTTAGTGTTACTTTAATTTTACTAATATTTCAGCAGAACAGATCCAAGCCTTTGCTAACCCATAGTGCCTACTGAGAGTTAGGACATATAGAAAAGCTACAGGCAGAAGGGGGAGAGTAACTCACAATTTCAGTCAGCAATTTTGTTTATTTTAATTAATATTCCTTTTCAAAGCAGGAACTGAATTCGGTTATTACTGTTTGCAGCATATGAATTCTACATTTAGTTGCAATGACTCTACCGTAACAAAAATTCACTTCAAACAGGGGGAAGAAATAAAAGACCAGCTCAATAAAAACAAATTATATCAACATATAACTGTAATCTGGAGCTCTGACAAACCTGAAGGTAGCAACGGGTTGTTGGGCACTGGAATTCCATATGGTAACGCTGAGAATGGGATGGCAGAAGGGTACATGTACTTGTCATCAAAAGCAGCACAGGAGCTATTGGCTTCCTTCTCGTTGGTGTTGCTGCAGCTGTTGGTTTCAGTGGAAATTTCGTGAGCAGCACAGTTCTTTCTCAAGCCTTGCTCAAATTCTTTACAGTTTTTGGCGGCTGCAGACGGCTCAGCCTGGCTTTTGCTTTGCTCGTGTTTGTTCGGTGTCTCCACCTCTATTTCTTTCTTGTCTTCTTTCTCCTCATCCACCGCAGCCGCAGCGGAGTCCGCGGGTTTGTCCTCGGCCTGGCTCTTGGTGCCGTTGGCGCTGCCATCCGCAGCTTTGTGGTTTCCAGCTCTCCTCCCCGGCCGGCGCCCCCTCTCCCTCTGCAGCGTGGCCACCGGCGGGTAGGGGCTGGTTGCCATGAGCACGGCGTTGCCGTGGATGTCATCCAGGCTGCTGCGATGCACGTACAGGTCGCTGGGGAGGTGGCCCTCGGGCAGCCTGTGCCTGCCCCGGAAGGCGATGGGGCTGGCTGGGTGGTACAGGAAAGGCGCCTCCAGCCCCAGCAGCCCTTTCCGATGGGCTTTCTCCATCTCCTTCTGCTGGAAAATAGCGCTCATCTCCATCTCCATTCTGAGGGACACACAGAGCAGGGGCAGTTAGGGCAGCTCACTTCCTCCAACACCTTATTTTTTATCTGAGTTTTCAGATAATTGAACAGGCAAGAGAACTGCTTGCCTCGTCTCTGCCCTGCAGTGCTGTGTGTGTGAGAGGGCACCAACTGCAGATGGAATGGCAACCTGGCTGTATTAATGTGCTGTCACACACATAGAGGAAGCTAAAAGGAAGGGAAAATTTATCTTCCTTGGGATGCCCCTAAATAATATTTCAGACAAAAGTACCATTTGTGTGTTTTTAATCCAGGCATTATTAGATGATTATGCTCACTTGGTGTTTCAAAAAAATGTCTCCAGGGTCCTAAGGGTTGAAGACTAAAGCAAATAAGTGAATTACATTACCATTCAGAAAACTGCACTGAAAACTGCAAAATTCCAGTGATATTGCAAATGATAAAGAACTAGAATTGTGTTATCTCTGGAATGTGACATTCAGAGCTAATGCTGAGTCCCTTGGGTGATTCTCTATGGATCCTGGCACTGAACAGGGCTCTGAGAGTGTGAAAAGATTAGACCCAGCTGGTAAGTGTTCAGCTGATCTCCCTCCTTGTGGATAAAGCCAATGCTCCAGAGCCTGTGCCAGCTTCCTGCTCTTGGAATAGCGGGTGGGAGAGTTTACCAGTGGGATATGGAGACTACAAGGAGTAGTATTTGCCTCTGCTGTACCAACCTTTGCTGGCATCAGCTTTCTCTGGAGCCAAGCCAGAGACCAAACAGAAAAATAGAGCTCCCAGATGAGCTTTCAGTGGGATTTCTGCATCTTCCTTTGGAAAAGGGCCTGTGAAGTAAAGCACTTTAAAGCTCACCAAGATAGCTTTCTTAACACTGCAATGAGGATAACAGGTCAGAGAGAGTCTGACTCCTAGAAGAGTGGAAAATTGTCAGGAAAACAGTTTGGGCAAAAGCTATCTATTCAGATTTTTGCTTTGAGGAGGAATTAGTTGATCACTCCGTTCAGGGATTTTTCTCTGCCCTCTTTTCATCTTTGCAACAGCCTCTGAATTATTGCTTTTCTGCTTTCAGAGATCACATGGAAGTGTTTTGTCTGTGTACCACGTCCCTGTATCTCTTGCCCCACTGTCATTGCTCCCACACAGCTCTTGAAGTGGAGATGTGAGGGGTGGCACCACTGAGTGCTGTGCTGCACCCACGGCAGGAGTGGTTGAGAGTTCTGCTGTGGAAATGGTGTGGCTGTGAAGGGAGGGCACTGCTGGTTACTTAACCACCTACTGATTACACTCAAACTGGAACAAATAAGTGGACTTTTCTATAAACACCCTGATATTCGAACTATTTGGTAAACTGAGAAAGCTGCCCACCCTAGCAGGGTGGAGACAGAGCTGATCATCCCAAGGGACCAGCTGTAGGGGCTTAAAATGTTGTGTGTGACAGCACACAGCTGGAAGGTTTGAAGTTGTTTCTGAATTTTTGTAGCCTCAGGGTGTTTAGATCCAGAGTTCAAGGGCTGGGGCTGGAGTTTGTTTGTTTCCTTAGCCAAGCTAAAGGGTTTTTTCTTACATCATTTTAACACTAAAAGCAGAATAGGAGCAAGCAGAAAGTTCTGTAGCTTCAGGTCTTAATAGATAATCAAGGGCTCTGTGCTTCTCTGGATGAGTTGAAAAAGATCTCAACCACTGTAAATAGTAAATGTGTGGTTTGGTAATTGCCAGCTGTCCTAATTCTGGCAGGCACCTCAGAGCAAAGCTTGCTATGGATTACCTGGCAATATTTTGCTTTTGAGCCAGTTCCTGTCTTCTGGCCACAGCTTCCATGGATTCTGGTTGTAGAAAGCTGTATCCTTAAAGGGAAGGGAAAAAAATAAGTCTTTAAAATTCACTTCTGTCCTCAAGCAAGTGCACAAACCCCAAAGCAATGCAGAGACACTTTAAAAAGCTTTTTAAGACTTCAACTATGGGCTCCACCAGGAAGCTGATGTGACTTTAAGTCAAATGCTATTTGTGGTTGTTGCTTTGGTGGGAATGAGTAGAACAAGCATCAAGTCCAGAATTAGGTGTTTGAGGGATCAGATCTGTGGTTAAGGAATATCTGCTGTTATCCATAAAGAAAGGAGACAGCAGGGTGGTTTTATAACTGCTCAGAAAATAATAACCATCAACTGAGCAAAGCAAACCTGCTCCTTCAAGATTGCTTTCAGCCTGGAGGCCATGTAATTTTAAATTGAATTTCCTCTTGAGGGAATGTCTTACTTGAGATCCACATTAGGGGGGGAAAAAAAGCTGAAGCCAGAAATACTTCTTTATAGATCAGTGTGACATTGAGAATTCGTTCACTCATCTCAAAGAAGGAACTGTAAGATCACTCTGTATGAAGGGATATGTAAATTTACGTGCAGCATGACAGGAGTGCCACAGTTGTGACATCCAGCCTTCCCCTGGGAGCTGTGCCCTGTGATTTTGAACCTTTATTAAAAGAACTTGTAGTTGCCCTACATGAGTAAGGTGGCACGTGATATTACCATTAAATATGATCAGTATAAAGCACCCAGTACTCACACAAGAGCAAGAGTTAAATGTAGTGTGAAGGTGTTATTGATTGGGCGTTTGTTTAGCTACAGCCTTCTTTTCAGATGTGAAAATGCTTGGAAAATACAAAAAGAAAAAGAGTAGAAAAAACATGCAAATGACTTTGAAAACAGTGTATTTAACAAAAGCCAAAATGGATGTGTTTAGACCTAACCTGGCTCAGTTTCATTCTCTGGTGGACAGGCTGTTTCCCTTTAGTGAGGCTGTTTATCTAAAGAAAATAAACTGTTACTTACACTACCCACAAAGCAGTAGGTGCAGTTTGCTCTCCCATTTACACACTCTGAGGTTTCAGGCTGCAGACACTGCTGCCTTACCTGGGCCCGGGTAAACTCTGTTGGCCAGGATGTTCGGCACGTTGGGGTGGGGCGGCACTGCGGGCCCGAGGTGGGAGGAGATGTGGATTTGCCTGGGATCAGCCGAGGCCATCATTTCTGTGGAAGGTAACAGGTCTCTGGGAGGGAAACCCAAAAATAAACTCAGACACGCAGAGTTCATTGCTTAGTTAGGACTAACCAAAGTCTGTAGGTGCTCAGGGACAGCGCACTCGTCATTGACTGCAGCGCTGGGACAGGGAAGGGGTGCCCGTACCTGTCCACCAGGCGCGGCTCAAACTGGGCAGGGATCGCCTGCACCCTCTGCTGGCCCGGCGCCATCAGCTGGGGATTCACGGCCATCAGCTGATTCCTCATCAGCATCTCCTGCCGCTGCCGCAGCTCTGGCACAAAGCACACACGGCTCTGGGGTCAGTGGGTAACTTAGAGAGTGATTCTGTCTGCGGTACAACTTTACCAGAAAAAATGATTGCTTTTTCCCCTCAAGTTCGAGTTAGTACTTTAATACATGTTAGCAAATCACACTTTTTTTTTAACAGCAGCAACTAAAAAATATGTTTCTGCTGCCACCATAACTATTTGTTTAAATAATGCTAATTTATACTATCAAACTGCATTAAAAATAAACAAGGATGTACACGGTCAAGTGTACAAAAGGACAATTTACAACAAATAGTAATTCACATGACAGTATATTTACAAGAAAATAGCCATAGATGTTAAGTTCTCTGCTTGAGAGAGCTTTAATTTCTAATAGAGCTTCATTTTTAGAAAAGTCTAATTAGCTAGAACCTGCCTTAGAAGGTAGGTTCTAGAAAGAAGAGCCTACAGTGGTGAGACAGAGCATCATAATGTCCAGCTATGGCTTTTGTTGCCAAGTTCTTTTGTGACCTTGACTTGTCTTTCAGATGCTCAGCATCTCTTAATCGAATTCTGAATGCCAGGAGCCCCCCCTGTTAACTTTAAACTACCTCAGAGAATTGTTTCTGCAGTTACTCCCGAGATAAATTTAAAATGCCTTTTTAAGACATCCAACCTGTTGCTGGCTGGTTTTTGTCTATTGTAGAGGAATCAGCAATCCTATAAACAGATGCAGTTCGGGTCCCTCCCTGCTCACCTCCTGCTGCCATTCCACTTGCTAATCGGTACAGGTGCTTCTCCTCCAGCGTTCCTTGTTCCCCCAGCAGAGACATCTTCCTCATGTGCTCCCGGGGAGTCATGCTGCAAGGAACTGAATCAGCAGTGTGGGAAACAGAGCAGGTTATGCCAGTTATTTCTATGTTTGTGGGTTGTTTACCATGTAGAAACTTTCAGGTTTCAGGACAATGCAAATGTTGCCTGTGTTTACTCTGAGTGTTCAGTGTCCTTCCAGGGTCTTACAGTGCAAGGAAAGTCAGGATGTTGGGAAACAGCAGCTCAAAAGGATGTAATTAAGCCAAAGGCTTTGCCTGCAGTGTCACAGCAGTGACAGGCAGGTATCTTTGGGTTCATTTAGGAATTGCAATAGTTTGGAACCCTCTTTACTGCAAACTGAGTTAAACAGATGGAGAGAAATGGTAGAAATGAGCTGTTCTAAAAGACATCAGTCCCTTAAGGCTGCCAAATGCAGCAGAAAAGGTAAAATAACATGCTTTGTAGTGATGAAAACAGGGATAAAACAAGTGAGACTCAAATTAATCACCCATATATGTACAAGTGAATAAAGCCAGATGAAGGTTAGGAATCTAGCCTAAAAACTGCTACACTGCAAATGCAGGGCTGAGGAGCTGCACTGTCCCTGAGGGGGACTGGGAGAGCATTTCCAGGTCTGTCCAAAGAGGAAGGTGACCAGACTAAAAATGATCCTGATACCAGTGGGATGAAAAAACACAGTACTCCCTGCTCAGAATTTTGGGTGAATAATCTGCAGCAGGATTATTTGTGCAGACAGGTCCTAAAGGAAGCAAGTCCTGTAACCCAGAGCCTGGATGTTAAAAAGTTATCCTGTATGGAATGCTTTAAGCTGAGGGGTTGGCAGAGGAAGCAGGCCAGCTCCAAAAGCAGCAGCAGGGGCACCTGAACACTCATTTAAACCCAGAGTTCCACAGCAAATTATTGATTTTTATTTTTTTTCATAAAGTAAGTTGAAAGTAAGGACTTGAACTGCCATCCCCATTTAGCTCTGAGGAGATGGACTCTTTCTGTCTTCTGAAAGAAGGAAGATGTAATGCTTGAGTGTTCTCATCCTGCAGATAAAGAGTCACAGCTCCATGAGTTTAGTCAGCATTTGGTAGAGGAAACAGTGAGGGCAATGCAAAGACAGGAGCACTGTTCATTGTCCAAAAATCAGCTGGAAGCCAAATCTTGTATTTTGTTACCCAAGCCATTTATAACTCAGATTAATCATTATAACTTCTTTTGTTGCCTTTGCCCTGTTGATGAGTTGAAACAGAATTAAGGGAAAGCTCTCAATCTAATTCACATTTCTGAGGAATTTACCATTTCCTTGGTACGGTGGAGATGATCTGAGCCTCAAAATGAGTTTTCCTAAAGGTAGACAGGTGAGTCATTTCAGCAGTTCAGACTGAGAGCAGACGCTGCACTTGGACCACCCCACTGGTGCTCCCTCAAACTAAAAAATTCCTTACATTTGTAAATGTAACCACTTGATTCTGTGTTGGCCAAGATTCAGGTCTCCCTGGCAGCAGACATCCAGTCAAACCCAAGACTAGCACCACGTCCTTTGTTCTTGACACAGGTATTATTTGTATTATCCAAACATGTGCTGCTGGATATATTTCCATTTGCCTTTTTTTTTTTTTTTTTTTAGGATACTTTAGACTTAAAGCGATTTAGGATGCTGGGGCTTCATGAAGAGCATTTGAGCTGCCAAAGTGCTTCTGAGCTGCTAAAGCATTTTAAAGCTCAGTCCTAAAGCGATTTAGTGCTGAACTAAACTTTTCAGCAGCTCAAAAAATAGGTGCCAACTGGGATGATGGTATTTGCCACACCATATTGTCCAGTGAGCCATTTAGGTGGTTTCTTGTCATGGATAAGTGACTGTATTAAACATTCTGCAAAATAAACTGCAATTCTAAACTTTGTGCTGACCTCCTTGCAGCCTCTGCCTGGTGCATCTGAGCAGAGCAACCTGATCCACCTGAAGATGTCAGTGCTTATTGCAGGGGGATTGAAATAATATCTTAAAGGTCCATTGCAACCCAAACTATTCTATGATTCTGTGCAAAGAAACCATTAGAGTTCTTGGTAGACATAATAGAAAAAAAAATCTAGTTTTTAGGCTTTTTTTCTAGTAAATCAGAAAAAAACAAACCTTAAAAACTACTATTAACACTGTCAAAATTTCGTCTGTCAGATGACTGACAAGTTGTACCACTTTTGCTTTTTAGGACCTACTGGATTGCATCCATCCCCTGTTTTAGTCACAGTTGTGAATGGGCTGTATTCTGGGGAATGTGTTCCTGTGTGGGCAAAAGACACCCAGGTGAAAGACTTCCTTCATCAGGCATTCCTAGAACTTCTACACTTGCCCCTAAAATCACACCTGTGACTAAAACCAGGCTGTTCAACTTTAAAGTGTAGAATCATGGAAACCCTAGTGGGAGAAGACCCATCTTCCACTCAAGCTCTCCTTACTGCTTCCATTGACCCAGTTTTTGAATCATCATGAGCCAGAAGGAAGGGTCGATTTCTTAATGAGGTTTTTCACTGGAGGTGTGTCATGACATCATTGGTGTGATAATCAATCCTTTTTAACTTAGCTTGGATTTTTTTCTCAGATACATAAAAATAACTCTGGCATTTATGATAAAAAAATTGCCATGTTTTTTCTACCAGAATTGTAATCTACTTCTCCAAGTCAAATGGCAGAATACCAGTTTGGTTCAAATTTAGCAAAAAGGCCGTGTTTCATATGTATATGTTATCTGTATTAAATTATTTCTTAATTTCCCTGAATTTCCTGTTCAGGGAAGTATTGAATTGATCAGGTAGGATAAATAGTTAGCTTAATAACCTCCTATAAAGACTTGTATGTAACTCTGTGTCTGGAGGAGGTACTCAACTTGACCAAACTATGTTATTCCATTTGGAAAAACACCTTTTTTGGTTACTTAGCTGTGGTTCTGCCTGGCAGGTCAAATTTAGGGTACTCAAGGCTCAGCCTATTTTCATAAGAATGGTCATATTAGAAACCACACCAGCAAAGCCCCTGTGAGGGAACAGGGAAAGTATAGTTGTGATACATTTATTAGCTGGGATTTGAGGGCAGCTCAAAATCTGCCATCAGGCTTCATATAAATTCATACCCACCAGCTGTCCTGTGTTAGATTCATATATGGCTCTGCCCTGATCCTATTGCACAAATCCTGGCTGTACAGCACATTACAGGGATGAAGACAAGTTAATCTCTACTTTTAGAGTTTTACCCTCAGCAAACCCTTCTTGGCAGCAGGCAGAACCACTCACCCAGGACTAATTCTGTCTCAATTTATTAGATGAGAAGTGGCAAGACACGAACTTCATGAACCAGAAGCGTTTGCAAATCTAATCGTGCCACCCTGCAGTTCCAAAGTGTCTGCACTAGGCTGTGTGTCCATGGTGTTAATGGCACTGGCAAAATGCAGGGTAGTTTTATGTATAATATAGGCCCCTTGGAAGACCTGTTTTTTTTAGCTAAATGCATTTAAGTTTCATTAACTAATACTGCTTTTCTTTCTATCAAGCACATGGAATTAGCATTTTTTTAAGTCAGTGTTTAGTGTACCTCAGCAGTGGCTCCACAGACTGTTTGGAAGAAGCTGAGTATTGTCTCAAATGCTCAGTTAATCCATGTCAAAGATACCAGTCAAACATGTAAACATGTAGCCATGCTTATGACTGAAATCATACATTGTCTCATTTGTGTTTCCACTGGCTTCCTTTTTAGAAAAACCTCTCCTGATTACTAGAAAAGTCAAGTGCTGTTTAAAGAAATAGATAAATATTCCAATATTATTAATACTCCTAATGTCATTATCTGTAGGATCAAGGGTTCTTGCTCTAAACCTAGGCTAAGAGTCACAAAGCTAGAGACTGCCATTATTCCAGGGTCCACAGCCAACAAATTAAATGACTTTTGGAAAGCAAAAAAGCAATTATATTAACATTATGTCATAGAGGAACATGAAATATGTCTTCTTAATTGGGGTAAGGTGCCACTGGAGAGGCTGAATTCTAATCCTTGATACGTGGGCACAGACTGCTCAGAGACTGAGATTAGAGTGTAATCCTAAAACTGGATTGAGAACGATACATTCCCTAAAGAAAGGAGAATAACTATATTTACACTGTGAGTGTCAGCCAGCAGAGTTTGCAGTACATGCCTTCACACACATGTGGACACTTGAGTGTTCCCCCATTTCTGACCCAGCTCTGGGGGAGATTGCAAGCAGCAAGTCACCCTTTCTGGCTTTTAAACACACTGATCTCAGGAAGCAGCCAAGGCTTAGTACTGGCAAACTCAATCCTTCAGGAACTAAGCTGGGTTCGTAACAGAAGCTCAGCTTGATCCCCCTGGAACGGCCAAAGGCAAAGGGAAACTTATTCCTGCCTGCCACTGAGGCAACAGTGATGGACTAAAACCAGGGGTGGAGGTGCCTTGTGCTGAGCACAAACACACACTGAGATCCCACAAAGCCTACGAGGTGAGAGAGACAGATGGTGGAGGGAAAAGGAGCAGTCCTGGTGTTTGCTATGGCGCTGGAGGCACATGGATCCAGCACGGCCAGCAGCTCAGGTGGGAATGGTGCTCAGCTCTTGTCCCTCTCAGCTCAGCACTGTAACCACAGGATTGGTCTCTGCAGAACCACAGGGCTAACATTATTTATTTGTGTTCTTAGCAGCACCCAGAGGCTCCAGCTGGGGTCACACTGAGGGCTTGAACTGTGCCTGTTAAAAATCTGAGTACAATATAATAATAATAATAATAATAATGGCCAGTCTTCACGAGTGAAGATTATGAGTACAATAACCAAGCAAGAACTGGTAAAAATTGTGGTTGTAGAGGGGAAAGTGTGAGTGTGCACGTGGATGTGCCATTGCTATTACATCAGTTATATACACAGAGATAAAAGCATGATGTCATTTGTTTTCCCTCTGGGTTTAATTCATAATTAGGGATGACATCTGAAACGCTATATTCTCGTCTTTGATTTTTTTAGAAGCCTAAAGATTGCGAAAT